GAAAAATCGGACTGATGTTCAAATTTGGGGTGAATAGAAAAATGTTGATTGCTTTTACGATCACACCGATTCGGCATCCAAGTGCAATTTCCTGATAGCAGCGCACACAAATGAGGCTTACTGTACAAATACACCAGGCTTACACTGGTTCAACTTGTTAAATTAATCGTCTTAAATAAGGTCGGAGATAATCAGACAATCAGATTCGAGAGTGTTGTTACAACAACTTACAAAAGTCCGTAGTGGTCTAAAAGATCTTCTCCCCACGAACACCATTGTTTCCATTTATCGCATTCTCTAACTGACTGTCTTATTGCGTCGCTTATGACGGCAATTAGACCAATCCCAATAACAAGCAAAGCTCCTATGCCAGTTGCTGCGGCCGCAGCACCGGTAACACCGAAGACGGTGGCAATTCCTGAAAATGAATAATGGGAAAAAGTTTGCTTTCTGAATTATTAGCATCCCAGTCGCCAAGATTCTCTCGAACTAAAAAATGAAATCACATGTTTTGTGCTCCCAATCTATAAGAAGCAATAACATGTCAGGTAACGATGTTGGGAATGAAGTACTTCGACAACAGGTCAGTGTCACAAAACCAATCACTAGTCCAGCTTGGTTAGGCGGGTTCACAACCCCTTCTCCTCTCCAGAAGGGTAGGTCATGCACAGCCCTCTGAGAGAGGTCCTTACTCCTTTACAGGGCTTCTGGTCACCCTGGTCACAATACCTCTTTCCAGGGGCTGCAATCCCCTGGAAGAGGTATTTAGTCCTTTAAGGAGTTTAGACCATTCAGTACACAACCAAACCAAGTCAAACTCTCGCTTATTTTTTTTTTTCTGGAGAACCTTCTCGAAAAGTAACTAATATTCAAATACGAATAAAGCTAAGTGAGAAAACTATGACTGCGCAAAAAAAGCTGCAGTTCAGTCGTCTTTTAATACTGAATGTAGTGTTACCATGATATTGTTATCGCTACCAACCTAAGCCTGCTCCAATTCCAGCAGAAGCCGCAAACGCGAAGTCGTCCGCTATTTTCCAAGGATCCACGTTATCTGCGGTGAAATCTTTGTAGAGGTCATAAATGCTTATACCAAAGAAAATTCCGTCAGCAACAACACCAAGAGCGGTAAAGAAGCGCCCTAATTTGGCAGCCTTTGACATTCGAGTCATTCTTGCACTTGCTCTCTCCATGTCATGCAACTCCACGCTAAATTCGGTTGCTAACCCTTCTTCAAATGTACGTAACTCCTCAGCATTTCTTGTACCGTAAAATTTCCATGAGCTTGTCTGTCGACGCGGCTGAAATAGTTTATCTTTCAGCACTTTGGCGACGTCGTAAGTGCCTTTAATGGATCCCACGCCACCAACAGCTGTTGCTACAACAGACAGAACATCTCTCGGATTACCTTGACGAAAGCCACTGTTTGGAGTGAAGATTTCTCTGAATACGCTGTAGGTGGCACCAACTGCTCCTAGCACGTTAAACGTATGTGCAATTCCCTGGACAAAACGCGGATTTGTGCGAATCAACTTGTCGAGTTCACTGGATGATAGCCCAGCAAGAGGATCCGGTACGTTTCTAAGTTCTTCGTGGAATAGGTCGCGCAGATCGTTCCTTTTCTTTTTCATGCCATTTAGTTTATAATAATCTTTGCAGGCTTCTATCTCTGCTTCGAAGTCCCTTATGGGTGGGCCAAATAATTCACTCATAGTTTTAACTGCTCTAGGTCTTAGCTCTAGTGCTTCATTGATCTCTCCAATATCTTGAGAATGCTCCTGAACGAAAAGGTCAAGGAACCTCTCCTTGAAGTCTTTCGCACGAGAGTCGACAGCTGTTAGAACGTCGAGCTTTTTCATGTCAAGGAAATTGCTAAACACTCCAAGCTGTGTGCTTGTCAGAGGATAAAGCATGACATTTATTATGCCCTCCATGACGTCTATGAATGTAGTTCGGACTTCTTC